AGTAGAGAAGTTTCCTTCAGAACAGCCTCAGGTAGAACCAGTTCATTCTTTGATGACATCCTATTGGCATGATTCTGGGGCCAGATATCCTTAAGACACATTATACATTTCTAAAAATGTTTAAGCTCCCAATATCTTCTAAGAGTAATTCTTCAAGTATGAGTAAGATCTTTATTTAAATGGAAATATTCAATCACACGTGATGGGAATTTCATTAGTATTATGTGGCATTCTTGGTATTTTTTTCCCCTGGCATAATTGTTGTTTTTGTTTTATCCTACTTACAAAAATTCCCCCTTTTATTCAAATCACTTAATAATGCAAATTGTGCCATTATGTCTCGGTGATCTTCTCACCAGATTTCTGGAACAACAACCTAACAATCTGAGAGTATAAATTAAACTCAATCTTCCTTAGGAAGTATGGGGACTTACTGAGATCACCTGGGCACCAACACTATGTTTAGCTTTTCAGGAGGCATAAAGGAGAAGCCTGACCTCTCTGGTAATCTGAGAAAGGCAAATGGACCAGGTGTATCTGGGAAAGATTCACCCAAACAAAACCAGGGCCCTCAGCACTCCCGCCGGAGTTGGACAGCAAGTGACAAAGGACGTAGGCAGTAGAAGTGGGATTCTGGGATCAGTGAGGCTGAGGAAGAGGATGATGCCCAACCATCCCCATGCCCTCTTCTGCCCTAGACCCGGGCATTTCTTTATGGGGTGGGGGAAAGAGCAGCGCTGTCTCTTCCTTCAGTCTCTCTACCATTACTGACTCAGAGGCAGCTCACAGTGTTGAGAAGCTCCGATGGCTTCTTGACAGCCCTCACTTAAGGATGAACCTTAGAGTCCTCTAGATTTTTATTCAAGAGAGAACAAAGAGAAAAGGTACAGACTGCTCCCTCCTCTCCTCCTCCTCTCTTCTTTCTTCATTCTGTTTTTAGAGGAGTTTCTAAGATGGTCATAACTTAGCATTCTAGAGCTTCTGGAGGGTCCTTAGGGGCATCCTGTCCAACCACATCATGCAACAGAGGAGGAAACCGAGGCCCAAAGGGGGTACTATGGTTGCCCTTGATAGGGGGCAAACCCCAGGGTTCATGTGCAGGAGGCTTGGTTCCCAGTGTGGAGATGTGGGAGGTGGTAGGACTTAAATAGAGAGGCCCACTGAGAGGTAAACAGGTCGTTGGGGGGTGTTGTACTCAGAAGGGATTAATGTAGTTCTTATGGCACCTCAGTTAGCTCCCCAGTTGTGGGTTGCTACTAAAGAGCAACAACCAGTCCTCTGGGTTCCTGTCTCACCACCCAATTTCTTCCACATGCATCATTGTAATGCTGTATGAGGACCTTGCCAAGCCAAACAGATAACCCCGTGAGCTAAATAAACCCCTTTTCTTTATAAAGTGACCAGTCTCAGGCATTTTGTTATAACAAAAGAAATTGGACTAAGACAGAAGGTAAATGGTCAGAAAGCATGAAGCTAACTTGTGGTTGAACAGAACTAGAACTTACCCGTTTTCCATATTTTTTACTGTTATATTTATAGTTATACATAATCACGGGATTAGTTGTTACTTCTTTATATGTGAACACATATAATAATATAATCTGGCCCACATCATTCCCCAGTACCTCCCCTTTCCCTGTCCTCCTCCCTCTGCTGGTCCCTTTCCTCTGTTCTACTGGTCTTCTTTCTATTTTCATGAGGGACGAAGACTTATAACATGTCACCACACCACTATTCTGTACCTCTCCCTTAGAGATGACCTTTCTTTTGTTCCTATCAAGACAAGCAGCATGAGAAGGCAGCCCCCACCCCCCACATTTTGAAGGAAAAGAATCAAATAGAGTGACTGGTGTTCTTTGCAGGCAGCTCTCAAGGTCATGCCTGGCAATAAAAACCCAGTTGCAGAAAAACAGGCATCAAGCCCGGTACTGAGGCTGGCGAGCCCAGGAAGCTCCTGTGAGCTCATGCATAGATAAAGGAATGTTGAGTAAGGGCCCTCACAGACGCAGGCAAGTCCATTTTCTAATATGAAATGATCAGCACTGATGCCTAAGTCCCAACTAGGAACCAGGAGTCATTCAGAAACAGGCCATTCCATCAAGAGAGGCTGACCGTGGAGGTGGAAAGACAATGAGGTGCAGGTGCATTGCTCCTGGACCAACAGATGGGGTCTGCAGGGCAGCCCTTCAACCCTGCTGGCCACACAGAAGAGTGGCCTAGTAACGGTGTTTCAGGACAAACAACAAATCCTCTCTCTACTTAGCCCCTTGAGTATGATCATATAGTTTGTGGAAAAATGTTATTTATTTATTTGTTTATTTTTGGAATCGGGGATTGAACTCAGGAGCACTCCACCACTGAGCCACATCCCCAGGCTATTTTGTATTTTATTTAGAGACAGAGTCTCACTGAGTTGCTTAGCATCTCGCTTTTGCTGAGGCTGGTTTTGAACTTTGAATCCTCCTCCCTCAGCCCCCCGAGCTGCTGGGATTATAGTCGTGCGCCACCGTACCCAGCTGAAAACTGTTGTTTTAACAATCTACTTGGAAAATACTTTTTTTTTTTTTTTAAGGGTGGATTGAAGACTCCTGACTTAAACTTCTTTTTTTCTTTTCTTTTCATAAAGTTTACTCTGTTATATTCCACTGACTGATCAAAGGGCCTTCTCCTGCATGCGGGTAGGGGCAGGATTTATGCTCCTAGCTGGGTGCTGATGCAGGCAAGACCCATCAGTATCCACTCTCCTTCTTTACTACCTGAAATGCATTAGGGATAGCAATGTAGTCAAAGAAAACAATGTTGTCCAGAACCCCTTGTAACTAGAGAGTAATACGTAACCAACATCTAGTCCAAAGAGATAAGAGTAACTGCTGGGTAGAGTCTTTGAAAGACTCCTTAAAAATGACCCAACTGGGAACAGTGGCTCACGCCTGTAATCACAGCGGCTCAGGAGGCTGAGGCAGGAGGATTTGGGATTCAAAGCCAGCCTCAGCAACAGCAAGGTGCTGAGCAACTCAGTGAGACCCTGTCTCTAAATAAAATACAAAACATGTGGCTCAGTGAGCCCCTATGTTCAATCCTCAGTACCAAAAAAAAAAGGGATGACCCAGCCAGCAAGTGCCCTCTGATCTTCCTTTTTCTTTCTTCTTGCTGAGAAAAGGATGTAATGGCTATGGTGCAGGCATCCTTATTGTAACTCTGAGGCAACCCTGAGGATGGAAGCCCAAAGCTGAGAGTGGTGTGGCAGAATGACTGGAGGAACTTCTACATCAGACCTGAACTTGCCTCCTCTGTGCTTTTTTTCTTCTTAAATGATAGAGGAAAACAAATCCTTACGTGCTTAACCATTTTTTTCTTTGTACTTGTAACCAAACACATTTCCTAACCAAAACACACACATATACTCACACATATACACTCACCAAGAAGTCTCATCTCTGAAGAGTGAGGCAGAACTACAATATTTAAAGGAGAAAGGAAGAGCAATAACAGGGTATTGATCCCAGCTGTACTAAGAGAATTTCCAACTCAGACTGCAATTAAAATAACTGAGAAGAAAACATCCCAAACCAAATTACCAGTTTCGCTGACTAGGGAGGTGCTTTGTTGTGACCCAGAGGACTGATTTGAGAGCTATGAACTGAGCAAAGGCTTCATGCAAGTGTTTTAGAAAAATCATTCTTAAAGAAATGTAGCCTCTGGGCCAAACTAAGTGGAATGAAAATGGCGGCAGGGAGACAGAGAGTTCAAGAGGCTGTCTCTGATTTCAGGAATAGAAAAGCTCCAGGGAATGAGTGCAAATCACTGGAGCATTATTTTCATGATTACTAATGGTTCTTAATAACTATGGGGCAACGATGGGTCTCTGGTTGGCTAAAAATGATCAGAAATTGCTCACTGCAGTTATACTAATAACTAAATATAATTTGACACTAAATTACAATTCTAGACACGCAGCTTTCCCATAGTCCCTTATTGCAAAGGGAAACTAAGCCAGAACATCAATAAATAGAATAATCCAATTAAGTGTCTCTCCACTGGGGAACTATTTAGAATTAAGAGTTTTAACAGGATAGTGAGATAGGGCAGAACAATTCAGTATTTACTGATTTTAAAAAAAATCAAGGCTCTTATTGTAAATCTTATTTTTTTTTAATTTTAAAGTAAGGGTTGAATTGATCTGAATGGCTTTGATATAGTGGTTTTAATCTCTATAAATTCTTTATAGACACCAGGGATCATTTATCATGAATACATTTACTTGTATTTTAATATTAAATATAAACACTTTTTTAAAAAAGTTCAGAGCATCTTTATAAGCATATTTCCTATCTTTTTTTTAACCACATATAATGTTCACTTGTAATATAAGAGTTACAAATACAGAAAGATGGTTTGGTAGAAATATCTACATTCTTTTTAGCCGCATTTAAGTGAGAAATGAGAGCTAAATTGCCTAATGAGAGTCTATGATGGTGGTGTTAACACACTAGCAGGATTTGTGCCACAGGTGGCATTTCTTCCATATTAGGAGACAGTGACATTTGCCCACAGAGGCAGAAATACAAGGGAAGACATTTGCCCAGAGATGAGTTAGAACAGCCCAAAGGACGCAGTGGCTGTGCTCTGAGTTTTCTGTTAGCCTGTGGGAATAGGACGAGGTACTCGATGGAGGGGGGCCCAATGGATGAGTTAAGGCTGCTCTGGGAAGGTGTTCCTAGTAGCATCTGAAAGCAGCTGGTAAAGCCTGGGGCACATCCTTCAATCTGAGTTTCTGCAGGCACAGGAGGGGCCTATCCAGTACTGAAAACAAGGTCTGATCAAATTCTCCAGGAAAAGCCTCCAGTCTCAGGGTTCGAGGTTCCCATATTGTTCTTTGTCCAGGACCCCTTTGTTGATCACTACTTCCAATTCAACATGTACTACATAGATGGCCCCTGTGGCATTGACCCCAAGGGGGACTGTAAACACAATGTGGAAAGACTTTTAAAAATACTTACTGCTGGTAGAGGACAGGTGGCTGTAGTCAGACCTGAAACACAAGAGCTCCGTATTAATAGGAATACACGTCATTTTTGTTTATCTGCATGACTTATTCAAGCTACAAGTTGAAACAGTGGGGACAGCATTTGACTGGTAAAGAAATGTCACCACTAGAAAACTACAGTGCTGAGGTTCATTCTGTGCAAACTATAGTTATGTCTGAATTTGAAAGCAAAAATTTGAAGGCACTTGAGAAATGGGGCAACGGGGGTGGGGGGTCCTTCCTATAGGCTCTGTGGATTCCTCTGATGAGACTATGGGACTCTCTTAATTTGCTGGCAAATTTTCAAATGGTTTGTTTTGCCGAAGAGAAAGCCCCAAAGTTTTCAACAGATTCACGTCTCCCCAAAGACTAACCCACTGCAGATAAGCACCTTCAAATGTTCCACCACACCATGGGGAGTGTTTATTTGCTGATGTCAGCCAAGGATCTCTATGGGAGGGGACAGAACCTTGGCTGCTAATTTGCCCACAGAACCAAAGACACGGGGATGCTTCCATGGATTTCAGTTCCACTGAGAAGAAATCCTGCTGGATATTAGAGTAACGGGATGTAGGCTGTGGTAGGGGAGCGAAAAAGCAGGGTTAGGGCTCTGTGAATGGCCCATTTGGATTTTATGCTGAAAAACCTGTGGCTGGCATTGAGAATGGGAATCCGGCCAAGGATCTGCCTTGCTTAATCTCTGCTAAATTTCTGCCCTACTTGCGTGGTTGTTAAGACTTCCCTCTCTGGAAAGGAATTTGGTGTAGAAGCTATTTCTTTTCTCCCCCCAGTGCCCCATAGTTATTCTCGGTAGGAAATTAATCACTTAAGCGCATAGGGATTTATTCTGCCCGGGTAGATAGGGGACATAGTTATGCAAATAAACTGCTTAATTATGTTTAATTTTATAGATATACACTCCTTTTATTTCCTTGGTCTCATGTTGCCTTTCTGAATCATCCAATTTTCCTTCCACTGAGCTTCTTGAAAGTACATACAAAACTTAAAGAAAAAGAAAAAAAAATCACAAGAAGCATGCCTCTTACTGGTTAAAATAACCTGCATCTCTCAGACCAAATGCACTGATTTATTGCAGAGGAACCAAATGAGAGAAAAACAGCATGTGGTTTTCTCTTTCAAATGAAATATTTTAGTAGTCATAGAGTCATTGAATTTTAAAACTGGAAAGAATAACAACTTCTATCATTTGCATATCCCTGTACATATTACAAACTGCCTTTGCACATATCTAATTCAGTTTTTAATTGGTTAACTGAAAAGCAAAAGAGGTACTATTTGTATGGAGGTAGGAAGTGAGAACTGATAAAGGTTTGGACTCAGGGTGCAGGGTGGGTAGCAAGGGATGAGCTGGAAAGTAGGATGGTTTGGCTAGGGCATGGCGACATGCCTGCTAAGGGGGGATGAAAAGCATCAATGATAAGCAACCTCCTGAAATCTAGCATATGTAACCCCAGCACTGACACTTTAAATTCCTTCTGGAGCCAGGCAGGGCATAAATAAACTTTAAGACAATACTTAGAAATGGAACTATGGAGAAATGCCGTGAATGCCCACCAAAACACCCCCTGTAGTAGATGCAACAGCAAAACCATTCTGTTGCAATACGATCATCTTAAGATGGCCAGACTTTAAAGAAATTTCATGACTATCCAAATACAACATATAACAAGAATGTGCAATATTACTATTTCTCTTGTATTAAAAATGTGTCAGTCGTTTCAGCTAGGATTTTCCAAATACTCCTGAAGCAGATGGGATTCACATATGCAGACGTTTTAAAGATCTGCGTACAGATGGATATGTATGCAGAATGAAATTTACACTGGAAACGTAGTTCAAGAATCTTAAAGTGCAATGGTAGTATTTTAGGATTGGTGCTAGCATAACTGATGCCCCTCTAAGAATCCCCCCCCCCCCACCTCTCAGGATAAAGGGTACTGCTTGGGTTAGGCCTGCCAACTGGTCAGTCTTCAACAGTCATTCGTCTGCTCAATCCCCACCCCATACAGCAGCCGATCTTTGCAAAGCACAAAATCTGATGGTGTCTTTCACTGGATCAAATTCAAGCTTGAGAGTTAAAACACAAACCCCTCACTCCATGGTGATGGTCTCAGCCCAGCTCCGTAGCCCAACTTCCATGCCTGTCCACTATCAAAACAAAGCAAATGGGAAAGAGTCCCTGAACCCTCACGCTGCTCTCCAGCCTCTGATCCTAAGTTGATGAAATTTGTACAGTTTCCACAATGATGGAGATACAATTTTGAACTGCTCTTTTCAATCAACACCACCCTACCATGCTGCTACATAGCTCCTGTAATTATCATTTTAGAGGAAGTGATGCTCTATAATTTATTCAACCATTTCCCTTTTATTGGCTATATGATTGTTCTTGATTGTTCACTTTTATAAAGCACAGAGTGATATTTATGAATATAGCTTTACATTTCTTTTCTTATCCGTAGAATTACCATGAGTGGGAAAACAGACTAAGTCCAGATATGAACACTTCCAGAGCTTTTAATATTCCAAATAACCCCAACAGATCATTTACTGGAAATACTGCCAGGGAAAGATGAACTGTAAAGCTTACAATCATTGTGTGCATAAACAGATTCAAATAAATTCAGAGAACAACCAGATATCTGGTCAGGACTTTGTACTCTTCAACATTTTAGGGTGGGAAGGAAGAGCCGTTGGGTACCTGCCTTGAGATTTGTATATTGTTCTTACATCATGAGAATTCATGATACATCATGAGAATTACATCATGAGAATTCATAGCTCTGCCTATGACATTCAAGCTTGCCAGAATGAAGCATGAAAGATGAGTTCATGAATTTTAAGAAATTTCTGAACACATGATACACATAAGTACAATAATACAAAGATTAGTACATAGTCTCTCATATCTAATATATACAGAGATGCATTTCCAAATATTTAATATCTGTGCCAATAATAAAAAGTTAAGATGTAGTTCCTTAATTTTTCTAAAAAAATATAATTATATGTGTAGACCATATATGTAAAGACTTTCTGTACTTATGGTAGCTTATCTCTGTTAGCAGTCTACTTGCCAATTTAAACATACATTAATTTTATAAAATAATATCTTCCTAAATTCTCTTTTCCAGAAAAATTATGGCATAAGAGCTTTCTGATTTTAATATTCCACCAATTTTTTTCCCCATTCACCTGTTTAAACTCTCAACTGATGGATTTTTAAAACTCTCTTAAGTCACAGTGAAGTATGAGTTGAAGGCCACCAAAAAGGCAGGGCATGGTATGACCTTGCCATGGGTCAGAAGCTCAGTGACAGCTGACACAGAAGTGGAAGTCCATTAACGTGAGACCAAACTCCTGAATGAATATAATCCACTGGGTCAGGTCACATGTGAAAAAGCAGCTTCCAGGGCAAATCCTGGAGCCATGACTAATGAAAGTCATCAGAAAGCATTGACTTTTATTTGGATTTACAAGGAACTGTCTGTCCCTTGATTAAGGGATTCTGTTTCTAAAGCTGGCTTACACCGTCTGCAGCTGCTGTGCCAGTTCTTTCCAACAGAAAGAGCACAGACGCACAAGACTTGCTTTCAGGTGGGTTTGGAAAAATGGGAGTTTCAAAGTGACATCAATCACCACAAAAGAAGACTAGTGTTGGCTTTTAGTCTTGGCCTGGATTAGGTGGGTCAGGTGGCAAAGGCAGCCTTCCAAGCAAAAGAAAATGAGCAGAAAACAAAAATTAGTTAAAACAGTTCAAACAGCTTCCTTAAGAGGCAAAGTCACTAGGTGGCAAGCACGATAGAGACCCAGGCTTCAATTCAGGTCACTAGAGAGCCATGTGCCTTCTGAGGGTCTGTGTCCCCATCTGTAAAACAGTAATAATGATGATAGTGAGGCATGCCCTGCAGCCTGTTGAATGTTCTGAATGATGATCAAATTGCTTAAGGTATGTATTTAAAAGTATCGGAATGTCTACTGAGATGAGTATAAATAACCTACAGTCTTAAGTTCACCATTATTACATAAGATTCTAGTTTTACCAATTGGAGTATTCTTTTTGTTAATAATAATGATATAATAAGAAAGAATCATGGACCGAGATTGACTTATTCCAGGCATTGTTCTTAGGGCTTTCAATGTACACACTCATTTAATCCTCACAACCACCCAGTGAAGGAGGTCTCATCAATGCCCCCATTGCACAGAGTGGGAAACTGAGAACACAGGGAGATGAAGTTAACTGCTCCAGGTTTCCATGATTCCTAAGTAGAGGAGCTAGGGTTGGAACACGGCAGGTGCTCTTGCAATTTAACTTTCAAAGTGACCACAGTCACTGCCAGTGAGACTCACAAAGTTGCTTGGAACTGTCTCTTTGATCTGATAAAAAGGACTGACCATTCTCTTAGACAATACCCTAAAGTCTGTTGTTCCCGTTTTGTTTCAGCTACCTAGCAACAATGTCCCTGCACCCAATCTGTGATGATCCTAAACAGCCCTAGCTCTCTCTTGCCTGACCCCTAGGTTTCATTGAGCACGGCCAGGGGATGAAGGTGGGGGACAGCAAATCCACTCCTGTCTCTGTAAATATATAATCACTCATCTTAACTGGTCCTCCCTCAACCCTGCCTGAACAATCTCAAATCTCCATCATCCTGTATGTATGGTATGTGTGTGTGTGTGTGGGGGGGGGTTTGCATTTACAATGACTGGAAACCCTATCTTCCCTTCCCTCCTTCTGCTTTGATCCGAGGCCCATCCATCCATCTGTGGTCTGAAGTCTGCCTGCCTCCCCTTCTTCAGAAAGCTGACATTACACAAGAGCATCTCTCCTCCTATGTCTTTCTACTTTCCCTTTGAATGGAATCCCTCTGTCAGCTGTTTGAATTGTTTAACAACTTGGTGCAGTGGGTTGTTTGCGACCAGCCTCCAGAAACCACAACAGTCGCCCAGTCAGGACCTGTGTTGAGGAACACAACTCCCCTCGCCTGACTCTCCCCTCCTCTACTGCCTCTGTATGCCCCTCTAGCTGTCACCTCTTCCTTACCTTCGATTGCCTTCTGGGGCCACTCTACTCTGGCTTCTGCCTCTACCACCCCACTGTTATCTCCATTAATCCAAAGACACTTCACATCTTGAATAGTTTCTCAGCAGCACAGCTGCTCTCTCCTTCTTTCCCCCCAAACTCAAACTGCCCTTGACTTTTAGGATATCACATTCTTTTATTTTGTGCAGATCCTTTCCCAGGCTCCTTTCAGCTCCTTCTCCTTTACCTGACATTTAAACACTGTGGTTTCTCAAGGCTGGTCTTAAAAAAGACCACCCGTGGTACTGAGTTGTCACAGGAGTCAATGAGCCAATGAAACACTTAGAGGCTCAGAACAGTAGGTGGCACTTACTAAATGCTAAGTGATGTTCCCGCTGACCTTGAGTTGATTTAATCTCTCCTAGGGCTTCAAGTCCAGGGTTTGGTAGACAGTTCTCAAAGGTGATGTCACCATGCAGACTTCCTCTTCCTTGAGCTCCAGATGAAGCTCTACCCACACTGTGGACTCATCATGTTTACTTGGCTATCTCTCAAGACCTCAGGCCTGAGTTGACCATGAAACATCTCATACTGTGCCCAAACTTGATTTGGAAGGAATCAGAGACTACCTAAAGAATCAGATAAAAACTAACTTTTCATAAAAATCTGTAAAGTGCATTATTTTTTACATGCTTGGAGCAATTTGTGGACCTCAAATTAAGGATCACTGCCATAGTGGATGTGTCACTTGAGCTGTGTCTTAAAACAAGGATAGAGTTTCGTCAGGTGGACAGGCATGCCAGGTGGAAAGGACACAGCTGGCAGAGAGGACAGTTTAACAAAGGCAAGGCATCAGGAAAGCCTGACACATGTGGCTAGGTGCAGGTGCAAAGGACTTGCAGAGAAACAGGGCTAGAGAGAGGATGGACTCCATAAGGTCAGGCTTATTAGGCACATTAAATTCTTGTACTTGATAGAATAGTCATAAAAGTTTGGGAGAGAGACAAGATAAAAATTTGTTTTAAAAATAATAATGATGAGGCTGGGGTTGTGGCTCAGTGGTAGAGTGCTTGCCTAGCACATGTAAGGACCTGGGTTCGATCCTCAGCACCACATAAAAATAAATAAAATAAAGGTATTGTGTCCAACTAAGCTAAAAAAAATAAATATTAAAAAATAATGATGGCAAACATTTACTGTGTGCTTTCTATGCACTTTATACTCAGTTTCCACAGGAGATATAGGAATATATGGCAAATACAAAACTATTAAGCATGCATTGAAATTATATTATTTACCATGCTATTTTATCTGAAGAATGCTAGCAATGCAGTAAGAATGCTTTAAACAATTTTGTCCTGTTACAGCCACCCTTTGTAGTAATAGAGGCAGAGAACAGAAGCTCTGGTGTCAGCATGATCAATGTGACCCTCCCAGGGAGGGTCAGCTGTCAGGCTGATGCCCAGTTCCTGGGGTGATGTCACCCCCTGGGTCAGGGCTTTCTCTCCCTTCTCTAAGGCAGAGCCCTTAGAAACTTTTTCAAGGTCTGTCTTAGGTAAAATTGAAAACTAATGAACTTTGTTTAACTCAGCTACAAAGTAGCAGGTTCATCTCTCTCTGTGTCTTCCAGTCAAGGTCCAGGGGAGGGGGAAGCCCAGATTCTTCTATTAAAGTTGATAAATAAATGCTGGAGATGTGGTTGTGGCTCAATGGTGGAGGGCTTGCCTAGCATAGCAAGGCTCTCAATTTGATCCCTAGCACCACTGAATAAATAAATAAAGTCAGTCAATAAATGCCATATATATAAAGTGTAAGAACAAGTAATTGGGTTAAGCCACCAGATATAATCCCAAATTAGGATAACAGGAAAGCCTACTGCAGAGTAAGTGTAAAGTCCCAGATCTGGAGGCTGCAAGGAAGGGTGGGGTTGACAGCAGGAAGGGCTGTGTGGGGGTCAGGTCAGAATCCCCAGTCCATTTTGGGCCTGGACACTCTTCCTGCCCTCACAAGGTTGCCAAACCCTGAGATTAGCTTGAAACCTCCCTGACCTTTCAGGAATGTGGCTTTCGGTAGTCTGGGCAGCTCTTGCCCTCTTCCAGGGTTACTCTGGATAGGAAAAGACACCCCTTCCTCCGGGTCAGCACTTGCATCCTGCACTTTGCGCTGACTCTGCGCGAGAAAATCCTCTAGAGATAGGGGCTGGGTGGAGGCCTTTACAAGGACATTCATCTCCGAAGACATTCGGCTTTTTGTCCCACTCAGGAAAAAAGTGCTGTCGGGAAAGGACTAATTAGTCTCCAAAGGTTCGCGCTAATTATTCGAGTTTGTTGAAGCGAATAGGACTTTTTTTTTTCCCCCTTTTCTTTTTAAACAAGCAGGGCCAGATAACAGCCTCGCTTCCATCCCGCCGGTACTCAAGGCAAGCGGTTCTGTCTGAGACAGGTGGCCTGAGGGGCGACGAAGTTCGGGGTGCGAGGCTGGCGCAAGTCGAGGAGGCAGCCTCAGTAGCATAGAATAAAGTCCCACACTAAAGTCATAAAGTGAGAAATGCCATCGTCTCAGCTGACTTTTGAAAGGCTTTCATGCCTGCCGGGTGTCCTACCCTCTTCCTGAGGTCCCCATCCTCAGAGCGGGACTCCCGGGGGCTCCGGAGCTACAGGAGCAAAGTCCTCACCGAAGGCTGAAACAAGTGCAAGCTCATCTTTAGTCTCTAACGACGGTGCTAAGGGCACACTGCATCGGCCTAACACTCACGTGATGGCGGAGGACAAGTGGGACTGGGATGGGATTACACTGACCCTTGGGTCCTTCCACTTTCCTCCCCCAGAGATGGGACCCGTCCTGTCCCCCGGGCAGCCGAGGACCGCGAGGCTCTGCTCCCCGGGATGACCCGGAGGGGCTAGCGGTCCCCCGTCCCTCCCCTCCAGCCCCTAGGGTATTCCCGGGGACGCGGTACTGCGCCTCTGTCCCCGCTCAGAGGCGCAGGCTCCGCCCCGGGGATCAGGGGGGTCCCAGGCTGCCCAAGAGCCACCACAACTCAGAAAACGCCCCCGCCCGCGGCCCGGCCCCACGCGGCTCACCCTCCGGTCTCGGCGCCCGAGTCCACGTTCTCCTCCTCCTCGCCGCCGCCGCCCACCTTCGCGTCCATGGCGCGCCACCTGGCCGCGCTCCCTCCAGGCCGCACAGCCCAGCGCAGCCGGGCTCCAGCCGACCCCGCTCCCTTGGAGCGACGCGCAGTCCGGGCTCGCGCAAACAACTCCGGCTCTAGCCGCCGTCCCCGCGCCGCGCCCTCTCCCGGCGGCGCCCGGCCGGGCACCAGCGGCCGCGCCCGCCCCGCCCCTCGCCGCTCTGCCGGGCGAGCGCGTGTGCGCGGGGTGCACCGGTGAGCGCGAGGGTGTGCGCGTGTGCACTTGGAGATCTGCGCGCGCGCGCAAGGGTGGTACGGGGCGAGTGTGTCAGGATGGGTGCGTGTGAACGAGGGTGAGCTCGTGTGCATGGGATGCGCGCATGTGCATGGGATTCGCGCGTGTGCACGAGCGCGTGTGAGCCCTAGTGTTTCGCTTGCTTGTGTGTGGTGCGTGCGCTCGAGTGGGAAGAAGTGTAAGGGCGCGTGTCTTTATGGGCTGGGGTGTGGTGCATATTTACAGTTGCACACGCCCGTGTGTGCCCTGGGCGCATGTGCCCGTTTGTGGTTTGTGACCCCTTGAGGGAGATGGGGCACGGGTGTACCCGGTGCCCACTGTAGGGAATCCAGAGTACAAGGGATTGCCTGAGGTTCTCCAAACCTGGCGCTGCACAGCAGGGAGAAATTCCCGACTTCAAGGTGAAAGTGGGGAGGGATCTGTTTCTTTTTTGGGACCAGTTCAAACACCTGGGTGTTTTCTTTTAGTTGCTTCAGAATTGCCAACGCTGAATTATTATCACCTTTCTCATCGCGGGTCTGAGTGGCTTCTCACCACCCAACTTGCCAGCTTATAGTAGGTGTCCTGAATTCCTTTGTTATTAAAAAGTACCTTTAAAAATAAGAGTAAAGAGCACTGGATGGACCTGCATTCAGGGGTTGTTGCAGCAAGAGGATAATGGATGTTGAGAAGTGGCCCCTCCACTGGATCCTGGGTTCAGGATCACCTTCTCTCAGCTGAGGTGAAGACAAATTGGTGGAGTGGTTGAAAGTGGCATCCTGAACAACTGTGATTTAATTCTGGCAGTCCTATCCAAGCCATTGGAAGACACTCACTTCTTTATTCTAAGGCAAGCTATTTAACCTCTTTGAGTCTTAACTGCCTCATCTGTAAGATAGGGTTATTACTGTCTACCCTGTATCTGTTGGTGAATGACATGGGATAATGTCTGTAAAACATTTACATGGCTCCTGTGCACATCAAGCACCAGCCACAGGCAGCACAAGGCAGCACAAGGTGTGTGCATTCGCCCTCTCAACTTGCAAAGCAGAGTTGCCCCAGGTGACGAGTGATACCTCAAAAAAGGAATGTAGTCTCTTTCCCCTTCCTTTCTCCTTCTCTCCTACTCTTTCTTCCTACTTATCTACAGAAATGTCACCTCTTCCTGATTCTTTTTTTTAATATTTATTTTTTAGTTGTAGTTGCACAAAATATCACTTAGTTATTTTTATGTGGTGCTGAGGATTGAACCAGGGGTCCCACACGTGTGAGGAGAGTGCTCTACCGCTGAGTCACAACCCCAGCCCCACCTCTTCCTGATTCTTATTTCAGATAAATTACATGAAAGAGAAATCTAATTAACAAAAACAGAATAGAAGTGCAAGCTCATCATCAGAAAAAAAGCACAGGTTAATATCCCAACCCCAAATCTATATAGGCCTTACTGAGCTAAATTCCTTGTACCTAAACCAGAAACAGGTAGATGATACTTGAGTGATGCTCATTGGCTGAAATAAAGGAATAGTTCTTCGGGTGGGACTCCCCCATCCCCATGCACTGATTTCTAAAAGAAAATTCTCAAAATGGCGAAGAAATTATGGATGATGGACAGCATCAATAATCATTTTAAAGTTATCAATTCATTCAATGATTATTTACCAAACAAGAGGGAATAGAATTTAAATTGCGCGCCAGGGAAAGTTCTCTCAAGAAAGGAATATTTGTTTGAGCCCTCTCTGCTTCAGGACTTTTGCACTTCTGTTCCTTCTCCCTGGAACACTTTCTCCCAGATTTTCTGCCAGACTCCCTCCACATTTCCCTCAGGGCTCTCTCTGTTCAGATGGCCCCTCATGGGAGAATCCTTCTTGATTATCCTTCATCGAAGCATTCTGCTCTACTCTTTCTCATAACCCCATCAGTACCTGGAAGATGACAGATATATTTACTAATTGCCTGCTCTTAGCTCCTCACTCCTACCCCAGCTCCGAGAGAACAGGGGCTCAGTGGGCTCTGTTCACTGCTGTATCCTTAGCATCTGGACCAGTCCTCAGAGCATCCCAAGTGTGAATGGGAAGCAGCCCTGAATGGGGATATGGAGTGAGGAGGGCGGTCCAGGTAGAGAGATTGGCAGGTGTGAGACAGCATGAGCACTGAGCTTTCCATTAGACGGGGGTGGGTGGGTGGGGTGTGTGTGTGGGGGTGTGGGGTGGGTGGTGAAGAAAAGCCCCGTGACCAGAGCTGTACAAAATGGCGCAGGCAACAGTGAGAATCCAACATAAATGTAACGCTTCCAGGAAGTCACCAGTATTACTATAACTTATTTGGGAAGTAGAAGGACAAATGAAATGCTGATGAATCCATATTGAAGGGAGAGATACAAGTGGCCTAACAGGTAAGTATAATAAACATTCTACCATCTCATTATCCTCCTGGCCATAAGGGAATCTGCCTTTTCATATATTTCTAGACATTTAAAACATGTATCTCATTTGAACCTTGGTGAAGTTCTGCGAAGTTTATTTTCCCAGTTTACAATGAAGGAAATGAAGCCCCTTGAGTTCTAGTGCCTTCTCTTAGATCACCTGAGCAGTAAGTCGGGGTGCCAGGTGGTCCACTTAATGTGGATGGAGTCCACACCATCTATTTTAGTTTTATCACAATGATCAAAAGACCCAACAAGAACAACAGAGAGGAAAAAAGTTTATTTGGCTCACAGTTTCAGAGATTCAGTCCACAGTAGGCTGAATGGATGGCTCTGGGCAGAACATCATGGTGGAAGAGTGTGGAGGAGGAAAGTAGCTCAGGACATAGCAACCAGGGAGCAAAGAGAGCTCTGCTTACCAGGGACAAAATATAAACCCCCAAGGCACACCCCTCCAGTGACCTACTTCTAGCTATGCTCTACCTGCCTACAGTTACTGCCCAGTTAATCTGTGTCAGTGGATTAATCCACCAGTTAGGTGAAGGCTCTTATAACCTAATCATTTTACCTCTTCATTTTCTTGCATAGTTCATCATTGGCATAGCTGTTGGATGGCAAATGGGTGATGTGAGTCTTATCTGGAATTCAAGCTTGAATAGTGTCACTGTGTTCTAGTTATGCATGGCCTCCCACTTTAGTTCCTAGGTCTTGGTAGCCCCACTTTATTGTATTTTTGGAATAAGAGCTATTCATATGTAACCAGTATAAGAACCTGATATTGATTGGCACAGGGTATTTAGCCCGTAACCTTTACATGGCTTCCATGCTCTATTTTCATGCTATTTAATGCTGATCACTCTAATCATGGAGATGGAGTACCCCCTTCCCTTGCCCTGTAAGATGGGGTCAGAGGAGTGTTTCTGATCTGATTTGGGTACCCTGCCTGCTGCTCTAGAGATGTTCCATCTGAGCCTGAGGACAGTGCTGCAGGAGCACTGATGTATGGCAGGAGGTGTGACAGGCCAGCAAATGTGAAACCTGACTCCTGGACCTGAATTGTCATAGGTCACTTGTTTAAATGTCAGACATTTTTTTGTGCTATGAATTTTGCATATGTGATCTCTTTAAGGCTCATAAAAATCTTGTGAGGCTTCTATTGTCCTTAAAATGAGGTCATTAATATGAGTCTCAGGAGATTTGAAGCCCTTTTATGACTGCTTGTGAATGCAAAATGGCATTGATTTTTTAAAAATTCTTTTTTTTTTCTCAGAAAGTTCTGAGCATCACTCTGGTGTTGTATTTCACCCATACTGGCCATTTATTTCTCCACTGATATTATTGCATAAGTTTTTGTCTTAGAAAACAAGGCCATTCATCCATCTATTTCTCAAACACTCCGTGTGCCAGGCAGTGGCTGGTGTGGAGAGACACTGGGGAGCAGCCAGAGTTAGTTCCTGGCTTTCTGTGAGTTCTTGAGGTCAGAGTGGGCAGTCGATCATGTCCCATGGTCTGAGGGCATGGCTGGCTTTGTCACCAAGCCTAGCCTTTTTTAGATGGCTCCTTGAAGCATCCTGACTTTTGCATGGTACCATTAGCCGGAGTAGGGCCAGGATATCAAAGGCCTCTACTGGAGAAAGCAGCTCAAAATGGTAAAGGGCATCAACTTTGCTGATGAAAGAGAGAAATTTGTAACTAAGGAGGCATAAAGTAATTGGGAGAGAGCCAAAGTTCTAAACCACAGGAAATAAATGGCATTAAGATAAAAGCTCTAAATCAAGAGACTGAAAACAGAAATAAAAATTTCCAGGAAATGGGATTGGCCTGCATTTGAGTTTCAAGGTAGAGAGACACTTGGTCACTTCCACAGTGTGACTCAGTGCCCTTGGCTTTAAGGCCAGCTTGCCCTGACACAGTTCTTTAAAGTAACTTATCCAGCAGCAAAGAAAACATGTTGGTTTGGGAAATTTTGTTCATTCATTCATTCATTAATTTTTAAAGATTCCCCAGAAACAAAAATTTCAGGTTAGAGACATGAAAAAAAAATCACTTTCTTCCAAGTCTCTAGAAGAGTGTCAGATGTGAAAAATAAATATTATGATCATGACAAGAAAAATTATAAACTATTGACAAATCTACGTAGACAAAGAAAGCCACTAGCCCCATATGCAAGCATAAGGGGACCAGATGGCAAAAGGATAAATGAAATGAAAGATAAACTGTTGAGTTGGAAAATAATCCCATTAAAATATGACTTCACTTTGATGGAGGAGAACAGAAACTCAGCCTGCAGTTTTTTGGGTGAGATCTGAGGTTAAGCCAGATACC